GGACTTAAATTTGTAGCCACTCGATCTGCTGCAGCTTCGTGGTAAGTTTAACTTACGACTGCCCTAAGTGCACCTACGCATTGGAAAGCAAGCTGCTTTGTCTCACCAATGAAATAACCATAAAGTTCGAATTCTATATGCCTCGTCCCTAAAACGACTTCGTAACTCAGGACTAAAACCCCGGATTCTTATTGGGTCTAGTCATACTGGAAACAATCGTTACACAAAAGAAAAACATTGTACATTATTACTCCAGCCATCTTAATCTATAAGGATTGGCGTCGTTTCTAAGTAACAAACACACTATAAAATCAAATAAATTTTTTATTAATACATATATTTAAGATAGTTTAGAATATTATTCAACGTAGTAATAAAAAAAAAAATTGTTTGTATTGATTATATATATAAAACATTTAAGCTTTAATTACCAATAAAATATACTTCAAACAATACGTTTCAATTGAATTTCGTATAACAAAGTCATAATATAATATTAAACTGACCTTCTACGATAAATGGCGAAAATTATTGTAAAATTTATTACTTTTGTAAATACCTTAATATTAAACTAACTGAACTTCTAAAAATGAATAATTATTTTAAAGTAAATTATATATGTAAAAACCTTATTATAATAACAGTCACTAAATAATTTCTAAAAATGGTATAAAATATATATAAAAAATTGAAATAAATTAGTTCTGTAAAAATATTATAATATTAAACCGACTTGAAACTTCTAATTAAATGTAACTTATTATAATATTCAACTTGCCAAATTTCAAAAATGGTAAAACATTTATAATAAAGTAGTCTGTAAAAATAAAACTTTATTAAAATATTCAACTCACCAAATAACCTCTAAAAAAAATTGTTAAAATATGAGACAAAATTAAACTAATTACTTGTGTAATCTGTCGTAAATCTTAATATATAAATTACGTGTCACGTTGTTTGTCCACTATCGACTCCTAACTACCGAACCGATATCAAATATTTTCCACACCGTGTGCAGTTTGATCTAACTTAAAAGATAGGATAGCTTACATTTCAATTTATATTATTTTATTGCAAAATATTTGTTTATTATTTAACAGTCACAATTCTAACAGATGGCGCTGTGTTGAAAGTACCAACGTTTCACATAAGCTACAATTCAACGGCATAACAACCAATAAAGCATGGTGGTCCCCATGACTAGTGTTCTCCTACCGTTTCCCTTGAATAGTTTACTACTATGTAATATAAGAAAAACCTTAGCCACAGCAACGCGCTTGGCCGGTCTGCCAGTATCTTATAATAATGATTCAATTTATTTCAACTCAACCGACGGTAAGTATTATAAAAATATGTAATGTAACAGCTTTAAAATAAATAACGTTATATGTTTTACAGGACAGGTTCGGTGGCCGTCGATGCATAACTCATAGCAAAATCCCGAGTACATACCTCGCCATAATGTCTCCCTAACAGAGCGTTTCTTAAACACGCACTAAACACTCACTATAAAATTCTAATTAGTGGACGTAACTACATATTATCAATTATAATTATCAAAAACTATATATAAAAGTACATCTAACGTAACTCGAGTAAATCTCAACAAAGACTAATAAAAACATATGAGAATCGGCCGAGTAAAAATATTTGGGATCACCCTCATCAAATATTATAAAATTATGAATTTCGAACACTAGTATAGGATTCATTTTCTTCCATTTATGTTAGGTAGGTATGAAGGACTTCAGCTGGGAAGTTTTGATTTTCATCGATATAAGACGACAAGACAGGGCCGACGGGTTATAGTTGGTAAAAAATTTAGATAACCTAAAACAGCAAGTCCCACACTTCCTACGCAATAGCACAGTCTTCCGTTAGTAAAAATACAAAACTTCATAATCGTAAGCTAGGTTTCATAACAAATGTAACTAATTTACCTTCAAAGGTGTAATAAAAAAATAAAAAATAATAAAAAAGAGTACCTACATCTTTAGGTTACAAAATGAAGAAAGGAAAAAAAAATCGCATACCTCGTGGGCGTTAATCCTTTACACCAAGGATATGATATACCATATCAGTTTACCTCGATGGCATCCCGCTCTTCTGATTTGTTAGGGGCTAGTTGATCTGGTTCTTAGGGTAGGAAATTAAACACTCCAAGAGACTTGATTTACTATATTTCACACACTGACCCTACGTAAAATGTACAAACACCAACTTGAACAAAGGAATGGCCTGTGCGATGTGTTACCAGATGTTTTATGCTCTCGTCCCCACTCTGACTCGACCTTCCCACTTCGGGCAGTTATTCGAGTCAATTCGTAACATTTCGTGAATAACCGAACGAGGCAATGAGTAATTATTGCACATGCGCACTTGTAGCAAAAGAATATGTTTCATAAATTATTTAGAATATTATTCATATTTAATAAAAGATAAAATGTAGATTGATTTTCTTTTTTTTTACTTATTACGTCTTTAATTAGTGAAAGTTGTAATAAAATAAACCATTAGCATTGAAAATGTCTATATTTTTTTCTAAAATGCCATTTTATACTGAAACATTTTCATTACATTATAGCTAATATCTTATTGTGTCCATGACATAAATCAAGTAAAATAATTGAAAATGTTGATGTTTTAAATTTTTATTTATTACAGTTATCAAATATTAATCTTGGCTTTAGTTCAATATCCTGGGATTTTTCTCAGTACTAAGTATAACATAATTATACAAAAAAAATATCTAGTTAATATAAATAATTAAAAAACACTGGAAGGGTAATATATACACTAGCAGAAATAAGTAATTTATAGGAATTCTCTTTAATTTCAATGTTCAACATTTTTTTAGACCTTAAATAATTTTCACTTAACACAATTGCATTTGAGGGTAAACATTAATTTTTCTTTTTTATGAGACTCAATAGTAACTTTGTGTCATTTATCTGCATTTTCTGGCGCTTTTTCTGTTTTTCTACTGATTTCAATTTTATTACAGGGCTTTTTATATCTGTAATTGAGGCCTTGTTCTGTATAGATTTAACAATTTTTTCTTTTGACACTGGAGTAACAAGCTTATCGTTGTGAATTATTTCTTTTATCAAAACATCACTTTGAAAAGAAACTTTTTTCTTTGCATTGATTTTTTTCTTTAGAATTCTGTTTGTATTACCAGAACTAGAGAGAGCATTTTGCCGTCTATCCAACTTACTTAAGAGCTTCACTTTGTTTTTGGTAAATTTCATGATTTTTGAAGGTAGTTGAGATAGCAGTTTTTAATGGAATTGAAAGCAAAAGATTGCTAGTTATTTCACAAGAAGAAGCTGTATCTAGTTACTTCTCGTCTCTTTTGTTTTATTTGAGTTGCAACTCGTTCAAGTTGCACAATAAAATCATAAAGATAGCAAAAGTACACCACTATATCGCTTTAACTTTACAAAATAAAATCACTGACACTTTAACCTAATGCATGGCAGTATAATACATATTATGCATTATGCAATTGCAATCCAATGTAATCAGTAATGGACTATTTTTATTTTTTTTGGAGTTTATGGCCTGATATCTAGACCTTTAGGCCAAAATGTAATGGACTAATGGTCATCCGTCATGGATTATGATCCGTGGGTTGCCAACTTGTACCAAATGTTCCCCTAGGACCAACTTCAAATACCCCTAAAATATGCCGATCAAAAACCCTTAAAGTTTTTGTTGTACACTTGGTTTGAGAGGTAATTTCAAATATGAATTAAAAATACAATGAAGTAGTAAAAAATAGCTGTTGTATTTATGTGAGTACATTTTACATATTTATCTATATATGTTAATCAATGACCGAATAATAATAACAATGAGATGAAACGATTCTTATTTCTTATTTCTTAACTTTTCTTTCCTCGAATTCAGCTTTTCTTAACGTTTCTTGGCAGAAATTTTTTTGCGTTTTCGTCAATTTCTTTTCATACATTATTTTTAAAGCTTTTTGTACTTTTTCTTTTTTTATATGTTCTGTTACAGTTAAACAAGAGAGAATTAAAATAAAAAAACAAATGCTTTTTTTCCTTCTAATACAATATTATTAAATGTCATTGGGATAAGCTTCTAATATTTCGTCGAAGGCATCGGCCTGGATATCACCCTGCGTTTTGCTGTTGCTGATATTTTTGAAATCGTACATATTGACATTAAATGATTTGATCATACGGTCAGAAGGAACAAATTTGACACATGAAATTATTGTTTTTCGATATTTAAGCTGTAGCCAGGCTTGGAGTTTATATTTGGTTTAGTTTGTTCATTGCGTTCGAAGCTTAATATAAATTTTATAGAGTCGTGTGTTTGTAGAGAAAAAAATTCTTGAAGAAAGTACCCCCTAAATAAATGTACCGCCTAAAAACTCCCTGGACATCTTGATTACCCCTAAATTTGGGGTGAAAACCCCCAAGTTGGCAACACTGGACCGTGGACGCTATGTAGGACATAGGGGCTAGGGCAGTTGCATATTATTAAACTGACTTTTGAGCGAATTTTGTGAATCGACAGTTTTGAGTACTCTTTGGTTTCAAGACAGATGTGTTTGTAATATGTTTACAATTTATGTTTTAAAACAAAACTTTTACTTGAAACTGGCATAAAGTCAAAACTATTGCCATAACATTAAAAAAAAAAAAACAACAGTAGTATATTAAGAAAAAAATCGCGCAAAAATAGCTGTGGAGGATAGTTGGTCTATTATGATTTCACCATTTTAATGCGTAAAAGATCTTAATTTCTCATTGCAGAATTTTTTAGGTGTCTCGAATAGTATTTGAATCTGTGGTAACATTTCTTCAGATCTGTCGTAATAACTGACAAATGACAACTATCGTATCACAAAATCCTTAAAATCTGTGGTATAATTTGAATGGTGTTGTGTTTTGAATTTGAACTTTTGACCTTTTTAGCAAATTATTATTTATTTAAAACCAAAGCTATTATATAAATTTAAAGTTAAAATGTCTCAAGGTAAAATTGTTTTGATGGCTTGTGGAAGCTTTAGTCCGCCGACGTACATGCATTTACGAATGTTTGGTATGTATATTTTTCCTGATTCTATTTTCTTTTGGTCTTTCCTTATTGTTCTTGTGTTGTTGTTTTCTGAAATCCTCTACTCGATAAAGATTTAAAATATAATAGGTAAAGAAAAAAATAAACGTTATTTCATCTCGTGATAGCCCATACAATTATTACGGACATAGTATGTAGTGAGGTCAATAATGTTGTCTTCTCTCTACATTACGGCAATTTGAATGATTCCAGAAATAGCAAAAGACTATATACATTCCCTCGGTCTTGGTGTAATAGTTGGAGGTATAGTATCACCAGTACATGATGCATATGGAAAAAAAGATTTGGTTGCTGCAAATCATAGGTAAAAATTCATCTAACGCATTTCATATAAGTATATATTATCTTGTTTATTTTTATCAGATACACTTTCTTTTTCTACAGGTACTTAAAATCTTGATACCTCTGTTGTTAAACTTAACACATTATTAAATACTATAACTAAGCTTATGTTATATTTTATTTTTATTTGAATTCATTTATGTATATGAATTATTATGTTCATATAAAAATTACATTACACACACTTAAAAAACATAATGGTGTCTGAACGTTAGTGCCTGGTTAATAAAAATATATTAGAGAGTGGAATGAAAGAGTGTGTTCCATATCACATAACATTGTAATGAGAGGCCAGCTAGTACTGTACATTTTAATCAATTTTCAATAATATAAACTGAACCAATAAGTATAGTAATAGTAATAGACCACCTTGCTTTAATGACACATTTATTTACCAGGATAGCAATGCTCAAGTTAGCATTAAGGTCGTCTGGCTGGATCAAAGTGTCAGAGTGGGAGACACAGCAGACTGGCTGGACAAGAACAAGAGCATCTATGCAATACCATCAAGTAAGGACAAATTTACTAATTATTTCCGGGTACTATCATTTAAATGTCCGCATTGGATGTAGCATTATGGTATGTTGTGTTTCAATAAATGTTTATCTTGCGCAAACATATGTTTGCAAGATTTAACCAAAAAACTATAGACAAGCCGGGCCAACTACTAAGGTGGGTGAAAGCTAATCCTATAGGGCGTATAAGACTACGACGCGGCATAATAGTGCCTGTTTAAGAGTTCATAAAATAAACCGTTTTTGTTTAACAGTATATACTAGGTATAGCAATTTTAGTTTGTGGATAATTGGTGTCATGACGTAAATTTGCCTTATCATTACAATACGTACCGACCTTGATATAGTCATATAATAAGACTGGATACAATCTTACTAATTCATGTAATAGTTTTAAATCGGCAAGACTGGATTAAAAAAGAACTATTAGAAGAGATAAATAGCAAGAACATATTATGGCAAAAATATAAAACAAATGCGGTGGACACGAAATTAAAAGCAGAGTACGAACATATTAAAGCAAGAGTATCACACAATATAAGAAAAGCGAAAAGTGAATATTATCTGAAGAGGTTTGAAGAAAATTCTAGTAAACCACGAAAAATGTGGAGACTTATAAATGACTTAGCTAAAAACAAAGTGCATGACAGACCTGGACCAGACAAACTTGAAACGGCAGCTGGTACTATTACGGACAAAAAAGAAATATGTGAAAGTTTTAACTCATATTTTTCGACTATTGGCTCAACCCTAGCAAATATGATTTCTAAAAAATCAAAAGTACCTCAGATTTTAGAAGAGTGTAGTCTAACTGATAGAACAGAATTGCGATTTCTGAAACCAGTAACCACGAAAGAAGTTATTACCATAATTAAAAATTTGGACTGTAACACTGCATCTGGCATTGATGGTATTAGTACAAAATCAATTAAATGCGTAAAAGACATTATTGCCACGGAACTAACAGTTTGCATTAACTATCATTTGGCACGAGGTATTTTTCCCAACGAGTTAAAGGTTGCAAAAGTTGTACCAATTCATAAAGCCGGAAGTAAGCTTGACCCGTGCAATTATCGCCCTATATCAGTTCTCCCAGTGCTTTCTAAGGTCTTTGAGAAGATTCTTTATAACCAATTAGAGTCATTCCTTAATTCAAAAGGTTTCTTTTACCGAAAACAATATGGCTTTAGAGCTCAATCAAATACTCTCGCTGCCACAATTGACCTCGTAACCAAAATTAAAAATAAAATTGATCAAAAACAAGTTGCCTTAGGTATATTTATCGATCTGAAAAAAGCCTTTGACACCATTAGTCATGAAAAATTATTACAAAAACTAAAACTTACCGGTGTTACAGGCAAAGCACTTGAAATTTTTAAATCATATATGGAGAACCGAAAACAAATAGTAAAAATAGGTGAATATGAAAGCAATTCCTGTATCCTGAATTTTGGCGTTCCCCAGGGATCAATATTAGGCCCCCTCATGTTCCTCATTTATATTAACAGTATCAGTGATTTGGGTCTCAAAGGTGACATCTCCCTTTATGCAGACGACACAAGTCTCTTTTACTTTGGAAACTCGATCGAAGCTCTAATAGCTGACGCTCAAAATGGTCTTAATCTGTTAAATGAGTGGTTTCAATCAAATCTTTTAACTATTAATATTACAAAAACAAATTATGTTATTTTTGCAGCAAAAAATAAAAAAATAAATAATAATTTCGAACTTAAAATAGACGGAAAAATACTTGAACGAAAACATAAAGAAAAATATCTCGGACTTATTTTGGATAGTAACCTAACTTGGAAGCCACATCTAGAAAAAATTAAACTTAAACTAACTCCGCTCACAGGGGCACTGCGAAACATAACAAATTGTCTCCCACAAAAAGTGCGGTATCTGATCTATAATTCTCTGGTTAAGCCTCATGTCGACTACCTCATTGAGGTCTGGGGTACTGCAGCAAAGAGTAATTTGGATCCTATCCAGAGAACTCTGAATAGATTGATTAAAAACTTATTTAACTATAAACTTCGGACGCCTACGGAAAGGATATACGAGGAAACAAAATTAATGAATATTAAACAAACGTACACATACTACACTTGTATTCTAGTACGCAAAATATTAAATAGGGAAATTAATTCTAATATAAAATTTTTAACCAAACAACAAACACGAAATGCTAACTTAAGACGTGCTAGTTACTTGGTGACCCGCCCTCCTAGAACTAACTATGGCAAAAGAAGTTTGGAGTATGAGGGTGGTACAATTTATAATAAGTTACCATCAGTTATAAAAGCAGAACAAAATTATGCCCGATTTAAAAAGCTTCTAAAAACTTACACATTAATTACATACAAATAAGTGATCAAAATATAATATGTATATTTACCGAGCTGTGAAAAACATTTATGAAAAATCGTATTATGGTTACGATATATGGATACTTTTTATTTAAGGGATTGTCGGTATAAAATTATTTATTACAGGTCATATTTAAACAATACAAAAAAGGATACACAATATTTGGCACTACATTTACGACTATCACAGTATAATTTGACACAAATACAATATAAAGGGCCGAATTTGAATTTTTCTAAAATCATAAAATATTTCAACATCAATTAATTCAACCCTATTACATATAATAAACATTTAAAATGTAACAATTTAATCTAAATTTAAGAATTGTAATGTGTTACAAAACCCTTGCCAACAATTGACACACATTTTTGTGCAAATGGACAATTTATTTCAAATAATGAAACATATAATTTACATCATCTTCAACAATCAATAAATACCTAATACACAAATAAATAGGAGTCTTAGATTTGTAATATATTTTGGTTAGTTATTTTTAAATCCATCTTATCATCATATATATATATAAATATACATATTATATATATATATCATCGACAAGAATGCGATAACACTTGAAATGTATAATGTTTAAGAACTTTAAACTAACACCACTCACGGTGTTAAAGAATTGTATTTGATATTGACCAAAATCTGCCTATAGGTGATTTTAATTTGTAAAAATGTTTTATAAACCTTGTACATACCCTAAATATATAAATATAGGAATAAACTGAAAATAAAATAGTCTTATGAAAAATAATAAAATAATCAATATAAACTTGTTATATCAGACTATGCCATCAATGCCACATCTAGAAAAAAATTAAATTCTAGAAAAAATTAAATTCTAACATCCGTGTTTCGCTTGGTTGACTGACCAAGTTTTTTATGTCTACCCACATTTTTGGTGCTGTTCTGTTTTCTTATTTTATATATGTACCTACATCTGTGCGCTCTAATTTTTAATCTTAGTTTTAAATATGTGTTTCTCAGTAAGTGAATTTTCAATTCTTATGAGAAATAAAGTTATTCTTAAACCGTAAATCCGCAAGGTGCATAAATCTGTATCCAAGTCTGGAATTAGCGTTGAAACTTGAATCACCCAGATCGATAGGTAAGTCAAGGTTACTGAGCAACAAGGTTCTGTTCAGGTTAAAAGGTCACCGCTTATCGCAGGTATTTCAATATGCTATGACTTATACTGTATAATATTTTTGGAAATATAACGCCATACATTTGCGGCTAACTGCTAGTATAATATTACAAAACGGCGAAATTCGTTTCGCCGTAATATATTTTTATAAGCTACATACCATCATATTAAAAATTATGCTATGATACCGCAAAGAGACTGTTCGATTTTCAGGAATAAAATCTAAGTACTACATAAAACTTTTTTTTTTTAATTCTTCCGATAAAAACCTTCCTCTTGGGAGTTTTTCAAGGAATCGTTTTTTTAAATACTCGAATTGGTCCTGCCTTCTGAGTTTTGAGCTTAATACATTTTGTGATTCATTTTTATTTATATAGATTATACCAAAATTGGTTGTAGACGATGTAGTTGAATTGTAATAATCCAGTGTTTTTAGATCCTGACCTTATTTTTAAAATGTGTTTCATAAATCAATCAGCATCTAGATGATTAGCCTTCTGCGCCTGAAACACGTCGTCGTTTTTGGTAGAGATATGGTATAGTCAATTATGGTATGATATTGGTAGAATCTTTAATTATACATCTATACAATTTTTAATAAAATAATTTAATGTGAAATTGAATTTTATATACTAAGACGAGAGAAGATACTTTATTCAAATCGCATCCGACACCATAGATCTGGTATATGTTCCAGAATACAATAAATACGGCAAATCACACGGATCCTCCGTCATGGTTACCTGACGATATCCTCAACGTTAACATTGAAGACCAAAACTCGAATCGCATAAATGGTAACAGCGAAGACGTAACAGTTAAGTTGTTGTGCGGCGCTGATCTTCTAGAGTCCTTTGCCACTCCGGGGTTGTGGTCTGATGATGACGTAAGTATGTTCATGTTATAATTTGCTATTAAATCTTAAACACATAGCGCATTATCAAATATTATTATACCAAAGTGTTAAAAAAATACAAAAGTTAGCCATTAATTAAAGCTATAAATTATAAAGCTAGCCAAGAAAGATTAGCAGAATAGTAAGCACATTATTATTCTGTTTCTCTTATTTATTATTACTAGTTTTCGTTTTTTTTTTACTTTTTTATAGGCTTTTAAACGTTTACCTGGTGAAGTGTAAAAGCATATGATCAAATTTTTCAAAAAATTATTACTTTTTAAATTTGCTTTGCTCCAATGTTTCATAAAGGTTATGTAATCTCGCATAAAAATTACAGCTAGAGGCGATTTTGGGTCGTCATGGCATAGTGGTTGTGTCTCGGGCCGGCAGCGACCCTGGCAGGTTCATATACGAGTCAGACATGCTTTATAAATATAGGGTAAGTTTACACAATGTTACTTAATTTCAAAACTTGCAATTTTTAGTTTTAATAATATACTTTTGGTTTCTCTATCAATTCTTTGTAGCTCTGTTAATAATGGACCAGAGCTCCTCCAATACTAATTTTAACTTCTGGGGAAATTCATTATGATGTCAACTTTCAATTCATTTGGTTCACTAGTGAAATAATAATAATTCTATAAAACAAAAAAAATCTTTCGCATCTGGTGCATCTTTAACGTGTAAATTTCTCAAAGTCCGTATTTATTTCAGAAAAACGTAATACTGGTAACAAATTATATTGTGAACGAAGTAAGCTCGACGGTTCTCAGGCGGCTCTTGCGCAGGAACGAAAGCGCTAAATACTTGACAGATGACAACGTCATCTCTTACGTACGACAGAATCAACTCTATGGGAGTAAGGCCAATGTCACGTGAGTATTCGAACTTATTATTATAGATTTGTAGGAGGCTAATATAATACATATTAACAAGCAATAGACACAACAAAGTGTGTTTTGGTATTAAAAACAAGGAGTTTAACAAAAACTATTGGTATATAACGTAACGTTAAAATTATTAAATAAAACGTGTAAACGTAGAAATGTCAATCTGAACTTGACAAAAATAAAAGTTTCTTTCCAACAGAAAGTAATAATTTGTTTGTTCATGCTGCTCGGATTTAGTGAGTATAACACAGACATTATGTACGATAAGTCGCCCCAAGATGTCGTTATGGCGTCGCCAGAGGAGACTAGCTTCAAAAACATTCTCATCTCAATCAGAGACAAGCCTTCAATAATTGACGAAACTATTACTGTCAAACGGTCCAAAAAGTCTATTCTATCCCACACGGACACTGTGACACCCATAAATAACCTAAAACCGAAGATGGCGTACATTGACAAAGTGTCACCAACCTACGTACCCGGGAAAGCTGTCAAAATCGTCAGTGACGTCACTCAACATACCATGGACAAGGTAGGTGTAGAAACTCATTCGCTTGACAGTTTTTTGGACAACTACGATTTGAGCAAGCGTAGGTTGAGCGAGGGAAATGTTGAGAAGAAAATACCCAAAAAGAGATGTCCTTCTTCGACTATAAGGAAACTAAAACCTGATGAGATGAAAAAAAGTAAGTCTGAAGTGAGTAAGTTGTGTGATAAAGTCAAAAGTATTAAACTTAAAGATGATGGTAGAAATTATAAAACCCGTAGTTGTAACGATATAGTTAAACTCATTCTGACCAAACACGGTATCCATGTGATTAGCGATACTGAAGCGATTGTGTAATGTTTTTTAATTATTTACAATACTAAACTGATATCTCGAATTTCTCAAGTTTAATGTAATAATTTTGTTTTGTTAAACTTTTTCCTATTTCTTATATGAAATAGATGTTTTGTGTAGTCAGTTGGACAAAGTTATTAACGAATTTGTAAAGAATTTAGCCCAAAACAAGTCAATAATTTATTAAATAATATTTTGTAAGTCTTGTGTAAAGACTTATAAATATCTTACGCCCGCACCTTTTGTATAAACATTATAGGATATTTAGAATATCCTATAATGTTTACGCACATATTATTTTATTATAAAAAACAGATGCTCAAATTTATACTTCCTTTAGAGTAATTAATAACTTAGACTTATTGAATTATATAATGTCTTTCTATCTATGTATTAAAACCTTTACGACTTATAGTATATAAGTTATTTTATTTCTTTGATAAGATGGATTTAAAAATAACTAACCAAAATATATTACAAATCTAAGACTCCTATTTATTTGTGTATTAGGTATTTATTGATTGTTGAAGATGATGTAAATTATATGTTTCATTATTTGAAATAAATTGTCCATTTGCACAAAAATGTGTGTCAATTGTTGGCAAGGGTTTTGTAACACATTACAATTCTTAAATTTAGATTAAATTGTTACATTTTAAATGTTTATTATATGTAATAGGGTTGAATTAATTGATGTTGAAATATTTTATGATTTTAGAAAAATTCAAATTCGGCCCTTTATATTGTATTTGTGTCAAATTATACTGTGATAGTCGTAAATGTAGTGCCAAATATTGTGTATCCTTTTTTGTATTGTTTAAATATGACCTGTAATAAATAATTTTATACCGACAATCCCTTAAATAAAAAGTATCCATATATCGTAACCATAATACGATTTTTCATAAATGTTTTTCACAGCTCGGTAAATTGTTCATTTTTTATCAAAATCTGAGCGCAGACGTAGTTAAATTTTCGAATTCGTTGAAAAAATTATGAATTGCACAAGTAATTTTTGTTATGCACACATTTATTCGATTAAATGTCTTACTTAACGAAGTCGAAAATGTAATGTAAGATTGAAAAACGTAACGATAGCGATTCGTTTGGAGATTCTGTTAATAATTCTACTCATTCCCACGCACCCGTGTCTAAGCGTAGTTTTGATGATAACTTCGGTGTCTATGTATATATTTTAGTAAGTTTTGTTGTCTTATGAGTAAAGCTTCTATCGAAAATTATTGAATAAATATTTACTGTGACATTGAGCTTTTATTGTAGTTCCCCTATTTTTTGTTTTCTATCGAGGCTTTACGTTTCCCCTATACGGCCTGTATTTAGTTTCTATTTGTTACCCTTTTGAATCTAGCTCCTTTTAAATACGTCTGTAGTTGTAGTATTTTTGTTATTTTGTAACCTAATTATAATATAACGAAAACCTTGTAAAACTTAACATCCATTTGATGTGTCGGTTTAATATTTATGTTTTAACATATATGAACATGTAGTTTATTTTTTAGCTTCATAGTTTCGTATGTTTTAAAAGAATGTTTGTATTTTTTTAAATCAGGAAAATATTCGTAAATAGTAGAAGATATTTAACATGTGTCGTTCTCATTATTGAATCAGTAGATTTTACTACTTAGATCTATCTCGGTGAAGAGTTAATTAATGTTAATAGGCGATATTTCATACATTCTTCAGAGATTATCTGAGGACACACATTTATACCAAAATCTGTTCAGAGGTTTATGGGTAAAAGTGATGTAAGGTAAAAATGAGTTTTGCTTACTGCTTGTAGCATCTGTGTATAGATATAGATGTTTTTGAATTAGCTTTGTAGATTTCAATTTATTTTCACGTAATCTATATTTAACTTATTATTTTCGTATATGTTAGATTTTTCTACTGTCAATTGTTTTTTTCAGGGAGGAGGTTGCCCTTTGTAGCTGACATGTTGCGCGTCATGCGGCCACAAGTCGCCCTACGCGCCTATATAGAGTCGCGTAAATTGCGACATTGAGATTATTGCATTGCTTTATAGTCACGGTGCTTGTAAACACCTGTTAGCATGTGCGTATAGGGCTATTAATGTATGTCCTGCATATAATATCAAATATGCAAATTGGCATCCTTAGGTGGGAACACCCTCTGTCTGTAAGTTTTAATTAAAATATTTGTTATACACTTAAACATTCAATAACTATGTAAGGCTTTTAGTATGTTTAGAAAGGGATTACCCCGGTTTTAGATAAATTATCAGCAATATTTTAGTGTAATTTTACCATAAATACTGCTTTTAAAATCTCAATACATGATTCTAATGTTTGTTAGAACTTAGACGTAGTTTAGTTACGTAATTCATTCAGAAGATTTTTATTATAACTTAAAGTTTTATGTGTATAGAGTATATATTTTTCTATACTATTAGTGTTTTGTTTTAAAATAAAATTTATTTAAATGTTAATATTTTTTGGCATTATTAATATGAAATGTGACATCCGAACATTAGACTATTTAACTATTACATGTTAATTTTTTAGCTTACTTATTTTAAAGCTATTACTATTTATTGTGGTTATTTCAGATAGATGATTAAAACTTTATAAATAGGAATATTTTGTTTTTAGGTTTTATTTAATGTGTCCAAGATACTTAAAATATGTTGTAATTAAAAAATGAAAAGAATAAGTGCATTTTGTGACTTTCGGCCTTTTTATAAAACAATTTACATATTTTAAAAGCTGTAACCATGGTAACAACTGACTTTAGAAAACAGGATAAATTCGGCCATATTTTAAAAGTGAGGCACTTTAATTGCGCTTCTAAACGGGCCATGTTTTGCTGCAATTGATGGCTGCAACACTGGCCCGGCAACATTGCAAACAATAGCAGCCACAATATGCAATATTGCAGTAATGTCCCGGCCATATAGCCAAACATGTTTTATATAGCCACATATGGCCGATGGTGCCCCGATGGGTTGCCGGACGATCGCTAGGCTATCGAATTCAACTGCAATATTGCACAGCCAGTTCTATTGTTGTTTCAGTCACTCTCTTTGTTATGGAACAGTGTATCCTTTTCTACGCGACATGAAGTTTGCTCTGAGTGAAGTGTGCCTGTTGCTATATTCTGTGTTTTGCGATCAGCTGCATTTTGACGTTAGGTTACTACGTAAAAATGACTGCTTTTGACATTCTAGTAAAGTTCTTGAATAATTTATTATCAAGGCTTATTTCTAGACTCAAATTGTCTACAGTTTCACGCCTATTTAAGTAAGGTCTAATCCACAATCTCTTCTTTTTTAAAACAATATAAGCTGCTGCGACAAGTGTGATTTCGTCAGCCATTGTTGCCGGTTTGTGTAGCCCGTTAAGGAGTCTGCGTCATGGGCCATACTATTGCAGACATATTGCAACACATTGCCCAGCCATAGATTGTTTGGCCATCAGCTGCATTAAAATATTTTTGTAATGGCCGGGCAATTAGTTGCCAACAGTGCAGCCATCAATTGCAGCAAAACATGGCCCGTTTAGAAGCGCCATTATAATAAGGCCGAATTTGTCTCCTTTAACGCGGGTTGTTTATTTTCGTTTTACAATATTTTTTTTAATTGTCCCTTGATAGCCTTAAAAACGTATTATACGTAAACATGTTGTGTACTTAAAATGTTCCTTTTAATCAGCTTCAAGTAAATGTGATATGTATTTTTACTATAATTATAAAATGTACTAATTATATTAATTTGTGTATTGACCATACAAAAATCTAATTAATGGCCTTATTCATAACCGTTATAATAACATATTTCGTTTCAGTCTTGTCACTTGTTTTTTGTTTTCTATCTTGTACCTTTCTTACAAAGTGTTACGTCACCTACGTGGATACAGGTTGTAAAGGGTAAACCATTAATAGTTAGGTTATAAGACGTTTATGAATAAGGAGGAAGTAATTTTATTACGGGTTATGGTATGGTCTGTGCGTAAAACGATATCTTTACCTGTAATTATGCCGTAAAAATAAAGGTTATAAATCTAATTTAATTTTTGTTGGTATCCTTAGTAAAACACAAAAATTTTGTAAAGTACATATATATATATATATATATATACAGTCAAAACCTTTATAACGACATCGTTTCCGACCTGTCGGTTATTACAACCAGATTGTATGGTCCCGTCCGAATCCCTAGTAAACTATTCAGTAAAGAACCGCTTATAACAAGGAAGCGACATACCTTAGACGAAAGTTTATGATATTCATCGGATATAACGACCACCGCTCGTCTCAGTAAAACAAAACAATACAAACGATTTTAAATTTTATTTATAAGCATTGAATGAATATTTAGGCATATTATTACCTACGCACTTTCTCCCAACGAACAGTTTCAGCCAACCATTTCCGAGCTCTTAAGCTGTAACGATTTTGCAAAAATTTGTTGCCTTTAACGAACAGTTTGATATGGTGATACTCATACCTGAGGAGTATGAAACGTAAAATGAAAAATATTTGAGACTGAAAAAAACAGACTGACTGATTACTTTTGTACCTAATTATTTCGTAATAAATATTTTTGCTTCTTTTTTGACTCGTTTACATATTATAATATTAACATACCATATTATAACCCATACCTACCTATTCTAGATCGATAACTATGTACATACATATGTACTGTGTACATGACATTGCTTATAACGACTATCGGATATAACGTCGGCAACTATACGGTCCCTTCAATGTCGTTATAACCGGTTTTGACTGATATATATATTGTTTTGTTCATCAGTACAGTAAAGATAAGACTAGAAAATACAAATACAGAATACACTGGTTTTAATACACATTAAAAATGCAATCTTAAAATGTCATGGGTCAACTAAAATCAATAAAAATTATTTCATACTTAAGATTTTGAAAAATATTGTCTTTTGCCCGTTTCATTCATTTTTCATAGATGTTCTAAAAAATTTAGCTAGTCTTTGGTGTGTAAAAGTTTTACTATTACATACTTTGGGCAGTTCTAATAGTTTTTATCCAAATCCATTTAATATGCATGTGTAGATTCTCAAAACAGATATTAAATGTCTGTATTCCTTAAAAGTTATTTAATTTTCACGAACCAGGATCAGGCATTTAAAACCCAATGACCCAAATTTGGTCCTATTTCAAAAAAATTTAATCATGTGTTTGCTTAAGCCATATGAGCACTTGATTAAATGTACATTATTTAAATCACTTTTGCTTAGTATTCTTAACCTTTGCTGGTTCAGGGCATTTACACCATGGTGTAACTGACTTATTGCATAATAGCTCCACATTAACAACAGTAATAGGAAGGTCATCTATTGCTACACTATGGGTGCTGTGAATAGTATAAGCAACGTCATGAACACCCGTGACCCTATCTCGATGTCTTGTCACCTCACGTTGATTGAAGCATTTTCTCATATCACGTTTTCGGTATGTTTTGTCATGGATATGCCTAAAAATTATAAAACTGTTACATTTCAAAAGTGTAAAAATTTATTAATTTTATAAAATAGATTATTTTGCCCACATTTAAATATGTAATATGGTTAGAGCTTCAATATGATTACTAGGCATAAATAACACAATGCAGTTTACATACTTAAGATTAATCTGACAAACTTACTTAAATGTGTTCTCAGTTCCCGTGGTGATGTTCTTTGGTCGGAAAACTTTCAAACCGGCATCTTTTAATCTCACATAAAATTCATCATCTTCCAGGCCCCATCCCCAGTAATTATTAGACATTCCCTTAACTAGCTCAAAATGATCCCGTGATACTAACAGTATTCCACCAATGAAAGTAGCATAATGATATTTTGGATGTGTTTCAGGGGATGAAATATGTAAAGGTCCCAATCCTGGGTAATCATACTTTAAATTATCATTAATTGGCAGTAAATCAACATCATGCATTGCTATATAATCATAATTTTTGTTTGTGAAAATATAACCAACATTTATTAGTGAGGCTCTATTGAAACGATTGCTGTCTTTTTGCTGTATAACAAAAATATCAAAGAGTATATTTTGTTTCTTTAAGAACTTGTACATGTGTGGTACAAATTCTAGTAATTCTTCAAATCTATCTCTAAAAGGAACTATTATAGCCAGCTTCTTCTTATCAAGTGTTTTCGCAGAAATGCGGAGGTTCTGTGACTCTGAAAAATTGCAAACAATATTGTAATATTAAATTATTTCCTGTTTTTGGCACATTCCATAAATTGCTATAAACTTACGTAAGGTAGTAAAGCTTACACTTAACAGTTGTGCTTAAGAAATATAAAATTATCATGTCTTATCGATACATTCATTTCTTTAAACACTTAGATAAATTGGAATAATATTACTTCTCGTTTAATGAAGACTTACCTGGAGGAGGGATTGGTAGAGTAGCGATGAAACATCCCATCAAAAACGTTAGACCTAAGCAAATAGTAAGGCATTTCGAACTACTTACGCGGTAGCCCATTAAATATAAATTTTTCAGCATTAAACACACACTTAATCGCGTCCCTTACTTATCAATACGCATCAGTCTTATCTGGTTGAATAACCACATTAAAATATTAATAACATAATATTATAAAACATTAAAAGACAACATACAATTTACATTTTAAAAACATTTTTATTCTAATGTTTTGAGTTTTTATTTTTGATTATTAGGTTTTTCACTTTTGACAAATTTGAGTTTTATCTGTTGACATTGACAATGATGTCAATGACATGAGTCACTAGGCAGTATTATAGCAATATAACTGTGTTCTCTCCGTAACGTATGCACAGAGAGTGTACATTATACACTATAGAATGCCATCTATGATTTAAGGTGAAAAAAATTAAAACTTTTGGCCAAGTTAATATTATAATATGTTATCATGATAATAGTAGTCAATCAAGAGAAGATTTATGGTTTTAGATAAAGTCCTACTAACTTGGACTGTGTGTGTCAAACCTTAAGAGGACCTTTGTCTTAAGAGGAAATAGTCACACTTCACAATATCGATAATTTTTTTGTAATTTACAAAATTATATATGTACATTTTTAATAAACATTGAAGTAAAATAATCCAATTAATTAATCAAATTAAGTACTTTTACTTCTTATTTAATAAATTATTTTTTACATGACATAAATATTAATTATTATTTACATACTTTGTCAAGTTCATCCGATAAAAATCTTTATGAGCGACGAGTAAAGCTTTTAATTGCAACAAATTCCATGCGGCGATTTTAATAACCAATAAAACATAAAATGTCAACAATAAATATTAATTTTCACCCGCACAACGGTTTGAATGCTCAACGCAACTAAATTAATTACCAAGTTTTTTATAGACCTCTAATTACACGTTGTGGTAACTGGTAAACGTTCGAAATTGCCTACGGGTTAAAATAATGTTGCCATTCAATGTTATGTTTCATTATTTAACTAGATTTTCAAGAATTGTTTTAAAGATTTAGACAAACATAATTTATTTAAGTACGGTAACAAATTATTATTATTCAGACATTGTATTTTTATGACATCGTAATAATGTTAAATTTTTACTTAAATTTGTATCTATGAATTATCATTAATTTTATTGTCTTGATATTATAATTTATACTTACCGTGTGCGAAGTCAAATCAAATGGTTTATAAGTTCTCAAAAAACTTTAAGGTACATTCCTTGTTATCTTCACTACTTCATTCTCCTGAAAATGAAATAAAATCTCATTAAAATTTAATATACCTTGGCAACACTCAAATTTTCAACAGAAACATTTATCACTGTCCTACACTATAGATAGGCCACTAAATACCTACATTCGTTTGAATAACGTCTTAGTTATAGTGTAATTGAGAAAAACTGCTAGTTATATTGTTTTCAAGTTTTATATTTCAAACAGTTAATTACTGTTCGTGCTGGCGTTGAGTAATTAAAGAAATTAACAAACAAAAGTAGGCAGAGGGCTGTTTTAAGTTATTTATATGTGGCTCCAAGCTATGGGCGTTTAAGACTGTGGTTACATTGAAGTTTGTCGAAGGATACTGAATACTGATGTCATTTATCAATAACGACTTGATACGTTTGGCATTTAACTTAATTTGTTAAGGATATCGATAAGGTTTTCGACTGAGCAAATATTTTACGTTTTTTAATAAAACCTTATTAATGTTTAGAAAATAATAATATTTTAACCTAGTAGGGCTAGAACGGTTAATACGCCGTAGTCACAGGCTTTTGTCTTCTGTATTTATCATTTTTTCCAAAGACAATTAGGTAGTAGTAGCTGTCTATGGTTGATGGCGATTTTTAGTCTGTAGACGTACCAATTTTAAAACACTGATGAACCTACCGTATATACGGTTAGACTGTCGAATAATCGAACACAGGGTTAATAAACGGGCGCTAAACTAACAAACTTGCTATAATCTAACATAAACTATTTTTTTAACCATAAAAATATCTTTATACTTTAAAATAATGGAAAAAGGTAACAAAAACAAATATATATAAATATTTTTGTTTTTTAAGTCAGATTAAAACGCTTTGAAAACCGCTTCAGTCCATGTATAATGTGCATCACCTTACCTTCCCATATAATTATAATCCCATATCAAATGAATGCATTTAAATAAATTTAATGAAAATTATACGCTTAACAGGTGAATACAAATTGTAATTAATGACGCATAACAATATACTTACATCGACGTATTTCCACAAAATTAGGCTAAATTTGTAAACTAGCTTTTGCCTGTTGGTCTTCGTATTTTTAGATAACTAAGGTTATGTTATGTTATGTTTAGATAACTGTGGAATAATATCACATAATTCGCTCATTATTAATTAAAGATACGCTCTTTTAAATATAAGCTACTTTTTTATAGTAGGTATCAAACAAATAAAATCAAATAAAATCAAACGATCCTTCGGGACGCCCAAAAATGCAGTCATCGCAGCCCATGGACACGCATTTTAGTGGGTGCGTTGCCGGCCTTTGAGGGAGGCGTATACTCATTCATTAAACAATTGGGGGTCGTATCTCCCACGGAAAACACCCACCGGGTGATCGCAAAAGAAAGTGTCTTGTGAAGCGGACCGTGGAAGACGTTCCAGCCATCAAGGTGATGCTGATGAAACTTTGAATTCATACGGCTTGTATGGTGTTGAAACGAGACAGAAGGGATCAATCTTAACAACTCTTTAGAACACTCTCCATAGCACACATTGTAGAATATGCAAAGAGACGCAATGTGTCTGCGACGTTCGAGATCGACAACAAGCCGATTTATTTTTATTCTTTAATAATAATAATAAATCGTAAAAATATTTGCAGAGTGGTACATTCAGATTTATTAATTATAAAAAAAAACCGGATAATCAAGCAAATACTTTAGTCTGCTTTAGTGTGAGTGTTCAATTAATTATTAAAGTATAAATATTAAGATCGTACTGCAATTGTTTAATGAATTTGTTTTTAATTAAATAAAACTTCTATAACAGATGAACGCGAGTTTATTACATTATTTAGATAACTCGGTATCTTATTCAGTAATTGCTCGAAAACAAATACAATATTATTATGCAATTGTCCTCGCAAATTAGCGATTTTTGTTGACAGTTGAGGCTTTTGAGACAAACAACTTAGACGAAAATTGTATATGCGTCTTTCTTGTTTTGTAATACAACATAGTTACAAAGAAAATATATTGAAGTATGTAGGTACTCTTGTAACCTCCTTGCTATGAGGATTATGGTATGGTCTCAGCGTAATAGATACGTATAGTTGATACGAATGAACCAACTACAATTAGAGAAGGACAATTTAATTTTAATACTTTTTTATTTCAAATTTAATATTATAAATGCGAATGTGAGTTTAAGGGATAAATGCTTTTAGAAATAACTTTAATAAATTTTGGGTATAATTAACCTGCGATTTTATTGTTTTTTTTAAATAACTAGATTTGGTTGAAGCCTCTTGATGGATTACATGCGATCGATACGACGGGTGTCGCTAATACAGACCGCCCGCGTGGCCCACACACCACGATACCATTGTTCCGCGATTTTGTTATTGATTCCGCTAGTGTCGCGTTGATATCGATAATTTTTGATAAGGGTCGTAAAATTAAAGATTTTATTGATCGAGTTTATAAGGATAGGTGGAATCTGACACTATGAGAATGTAAATGAAATTGTTTTATCAAGAGTTCAAGTATGTAACTTCATAATTAATGTGTTCTCAAGCGTTTGGGGATCAGGACAGATACATTGCTGCATCTGTATTTTCTTAAAATTTTAACATATAAAATGCATTTTTTAATTTCTGCGGAATCTATTATCCAGCATTTGCATGTTTAATACACTGAATAAAACAATTTTGGGATAACAAATCAAATTTTATATCAGTTAATAATTAATTAAGTTATTATTATAAATAGAAATCTTGAATTATACAAATAAACGTCTGTTATACATTACCGCATTGATTTTGAGTTTAATATAATTAATATTTCAATTAAAACTTATGACATATTATCACCATGCATACATATTTAGTTTTACAGATTTTTGTGGCAATACATCATGAGGCATAACTACTTTAATAGAATCATATCGATATAAAAATCCTCGAAAGCATGAGCACATCACTATCAACAGTAATCAGTATTAAGTGAAGCGACACGGCACGACCCATTAAATGGTTCAATTTAAACTGTTTAATTTATGTTTTGAACTTCATTAACTTGTGGTAGGTTGCTTGTTTGCTTTGCGATTTTATGCAGAGCGTAACTAGTTCGAAAGGAGTTTAATAACTATTTACTACGTGAATGTATACCACAAGGAAAGCATACAAAATTTTATGCCAGCAATGACTATTTATTAGTACAATACTTTGATAGTAAAGTATTTAACGTAATTTTTTATTTCCATTGGTTATTTTTTATTAGCGCCTACAATAAAACACATATCAATATCGGCAGTAGTATTTTTTATGAACTGTTGCCTTATGGAACAGAAGTTATGGTATTGGTTATAGTTAGTAGCTTGGTTAGGTCCAACGAGGTGTGGGGACACATTATCATGGCACGTAGGGACAAATGTGTCCGACACGACCTTATTGTGTTATTTATTATTTACGAAAGTCTACAAAATCAGCACGCAACGCGTCGCAAAATGATGTTAATAATTGATTCTTGATAATAATGGCTTTGGTATAGCTCTTTTGTAAGAAATCGATTTCAAAGGGAATAATTATTTTAATTGTTATTTAAGAATCGACTTTAAAGCTAATAGTTATGATCAATGCAAAAATAATAATATGAGCTCTTCAAAGACTTGTTAAACTCCTTACTTTTAAATAAAATATTAATTATATTAACCACAAAACCAATGATGTTGGAGACAATAATTATGTGTAATTTTTTTTTATCAACAATAGAAAACTAAAATAAATTTAAAAAGTTTGGTCCCTATGGCGGTGTACCTTTAA